TTATTTTTATTTACTTATGACCTCTGGCAATTGCCGTGCCACTGGACTTAAAAATTTCTTTTATTGAAAATTATTTTCCTATGGTACTCCGGCGGCCATTAACCCTAATGGCCGCCGGTCTATATAAATTATATTAACTTCATGATAATCTGAAATTATCTAATATTAAATATAATAAGAATAAACATGCAAGTGGCGAGACTCGAACTCGCAATAGTCTACTTGGAAGGTAGGGGCATTAGCCAATTATGCTACACTTGCTTACTTATATTAAATTTATGAATAGAGTAATTATATTCTTCCTTATATTTATAATTTTATTCTAGCCCCCGGTAAGCCCCCAGGTTATAATATATATATTCCATTATGAATTATATATTAGAAGAAATCTATTCTAAGTAACAAATAAATTAAAAATTTTATTTGTTATTAATTAATTTCCACCCTTTTCTTATTCCAACACCATTATTAAATAGTCGCAAGGGAGATACTACTGACTCGGCCTTGTAATATAATATTATGAACAACACTAAATATATTAAGTTATTTAATACTTCTTCATTTATTAGTACTATTAATACTCAAAATGATTTAATTACTAGTTTAGTTATTACTAAACAAATTGAAAAAGCATTACATTTAGCAGAAACTATGTATTTAGATTTACCACAAGATAGTTTAGTTAAGAGTTTTATTCTCGAAAATACTAATAAACCTGTTAAAGTTACAGGATTTATTAACTCAAGTAATAAATTAGAATCTATTAAGAAATCAATATTTAATATTAATCTCGATAGTTTTTATCCTTATATTTATAAATCTGCTGGAGTATATCTATTTACTCATACATTAACGGGTAATCTATACATTGGATCTGCTATGAATTTTCAAGATCGAATTATTACACATCGACATGCTGTACGACATCCGTCCACTAAATTTCATAAATTTGTATCAGAAAATACTTGAAATGATTTTACATTTAGTACAGTATATGAAACTACTAATTATTTAACAACGTTTAAATTAAAATATCCTGAATATATTTTATCTCAAGGAGAGATGATCATCTTATCTCATTTATCTCAACTAGAACCTAGAGTTCTTGAACAGTCCTTAATTACTCATTTATCTCCTAAATTTAATACATCAAATGTAACATTTACATATACATCTTGGGATCCTACTACTTTAGATCAATCCTTTAAATCTAAAAGTTTATCTGGTTCACTAATTGAGGTTTGGTTAGAAGATTCTAACTCTATTTTAACTTTTTACTCTTCTATTAGAAAAGTAGCAGAAAGTTTAGGAGTATCTAGCTTATTAATCTCAAATTATCTTAATAAGTCTTACTCTTTTGAAAGTAAAACTTTAGAATGTAAAGTATTTGTTAAATCACCTAATGTTACAATGGATGAATCACCTATTACACATTTTAAACCAAAACAATATCCTTTAATTAGTTTTGATATTAATTCATTAGAGGAAGGTTTTATTTATGCTTTAAACTTAGATAAATCAGAGATTAAACATAAATTTAATACAGCAATAGAAGCAGCTAGACATTTGGATCCTAAAAAATTAGAAAAGGTGAAGGTGATGTTTTAGGACGATATATTTCAAGATATTTAAATCAGAAACGATTAGTTAAGACAGAATTAGGTGATTTTTATTTTGTAATTAATCCTCAGACTTTAATTAAATTTAAATCAAAGGGTCATCCGAAAGTACTTTGGATGATTAATTTAACAACAGGTTTAGCAATTAAATTTAATAATGCTAATCAAGCTGCTAAATTTTTAAAATTATCTAATGCTATTCCTATTCATAAACATTTAGATAAATTTAGTCTTTATAAAAATAATTATCAATTTGTAAGTCATGCTAAATTTGTAGAATTATTTCCAAATGCTATTGATACTAAATATAAATGTGATTTAAATACACTTCCACTTAAATTAATTACACCCCTCCTCTTAATTACCTTTATTGTTATAATAATTAATAATTCTAAGCCGGGGACTCGCCCCAAGGGCTTATTACTATTTTCTTTGGTAGTTGCCAATCCTACGTACTTAGAAGGATGCTACATTAGCCAATTATGTTACACTTGCTTTCTTTTATTTTATTAAAAGGTTCTTTTTGAATTTATTTATCTTTATGAGATATACTTTATGTGTTACTTGAAAAGTTATAACACATATTACCTGGTTCGCCGGGCTTTTTAATTTATAGAAAACTCCAAGGGCGGCGCAGCCGCCTTAGAACATGAGTAGGTTTTACAGGCCTACACTCCCCGTCACTAATAAAACTGGGCCTGGACTTAGGACCTCGATGGATAATAAAAATTCAAATGACTAATATAAAATTTGGTTTTCCATCAATTTTTGATTCTTTCGAATGTTAGCTTACAATATTTAGTTTTTAAATCCTCCTTACTAGGCCCAGGGCCTGACCCCCTTGGGCTAAGACCCGAAGGGGGCTAGGGATTTTTCTTAGGTTTAAATTGTAAATATCAAAATTTAAACAGTTCTTAATTCGTTATAGATCTTTATTATCTATTATTTTCTATAAGTAAATAGAATTTGCGTTTCTAGCTTAATTGGTAGAGCACAGGATTTCGGCTCTTGTAGGTAGAGGTTCAACTCCTCTGAAACGCTTAAAAAAATTAAAAGATAAAGACTGCTGCTACAGCCACTGCAATTATTGCTGCTTTTAGATATTAAGTAATAAAATAAAAGTAAAATTGGTTAAACGGTGGAAATAGCTCAATAGGTAGAGCGTTAGTTTGTGGTACTAACGGTTCCCGGTTCGATCCCGGGTTTTCACCCTTACATAAATATTATAAATAACATCAAAATTAATTTAATAAATAAGTTAATATATAAATACAATTGGTCTAATCTTAAATTTAGGATTAGCGAGGAGGGGCGAAGCCCGAAGGGGGGCGAAGCCCCGGGCAAGGCTTTTAGCCTTTTCTTGCCCTCCTTGCATCGGAGCTTTGCCCGACGCTTAATTCCCTCTCAAAATTGAATTCTTGAAAAATGCATTAAGAATTAGTTATGATTCATTTTATTTATAACTATCTTAATATTTTATTATAAAGGTAGTTTAATTAATTAGTATAAGTAATAGAAATCTTAATACTGTGGAAATATTTTAACATCGTTAAAATATTTTAAAATAGTAAAAATATAACTGTTAATCCACTTTTTTAAGTATTTCCCACCATTGTTTTCCATAAACAATGAGTAGGGTATTGAAAAGAGGTAACTTACTATTTTATGATAGGAATAATTAATTTTAAACATGAAAACAACTACATTATTTAATACTTCTACTTTCATTAATATTTTAACTATTCAAGATAATTTATATACTGAGCTAGTATCTACTAAACATATTGAAAAAGCATTACATTTAGCAGAAACTATGTATTTAGATTTACCTGAAAATGGTCCAGTAAAAAAGTAATTGATGAAGTGACTAATAGACCTGTTAGGTTACAGGATATATTAACTCTAGTGGTAAATTAGAATTTAATATTAAATCAGTATTTGATTCTGAATTAAATACTTTCAAACCTAATATCTCTAAATCTGCAGGAGTATATTTATTTACTTATACTTTAACTGGTAATCTATATATTGGTTCTGCTTCTAATTTCCTGCGATTTAATCTCTCACTTTGAGGTTATTTCAAGTAACGTCCTTTATTCTTTTGAATTTAAGGATTTATTAATCATTTAGGTATGTATGAGACTCAAATTACTAACCTTCCCGTGGTGAGTCTTGTCAGTACTATTAAATTAATGGGAAACTAATAGTAATATATAAGTAACAAAGAATAAATATTGTATTTATTTTAGAAATTCTTCTAATGATAGGGAATTAACTCAGTGGTTAGAGTGTTAATCTTACAAATTAAAAGTCGGTAGTTCGATTCTACTATTCCCTAAATTTATTTATAATTTAGTGTATCATAAGGATAACTATCTTAATCATTTATCCCGCGAAAATGGTAGAGTGGTTATCTTACACATAACTGGCAGTAGTTCGATTCTACTATTCCCTAAAATATAATAGTAAAATATAGATCAATAAATAGATAATTTTTAATAGAATATTTTGTTATCTAATATAATTAGAATTTCCGATTACTATATTTTTTATATTCCTTTTTATTTGTTCATTTTATAGAATAGATGACCGAATCGGTAAGGAAGTAGTTTGCTAAACTATGGATGTTACAATCCCTGTGGGTTCAAGTCCCACTCTATTCATTAATAAATTCTACAAGTTTAATGTACTTTAGAGCTAAGTATAAATTAAAATGGAAGTCAAATTGAATTATACTTTATTGAATTCTTTTTTTCTTTTATCTTTACCTTCTTTTTTACCAAATTATAAAATAATTCCTTTATTCTATATTATTCCTTTATCTATATAATATCTTTATTTTCTAAAATGAAATGAATCTTATTTATGAATAACTGATTATACTATAATAGATTTGGTTAATATTTATTTTATTAAAGATTTTAAACCAAAAAAACCGTCCCACCAATTATTTACTCGTTTTTACAAACTGGTTAAAAAAGAGTTTTAACTCTTTACAGACTTATTTACTATTGAAAGCTGAACGCGGGCGAAGTAAAAATTTATTCAGAGACCGGATCCTGGATTCTCCTCTTTATTAAAAGCCTTGACAAAGGAGGATACAGCTCTCCTTCACCTTTTAATGAAGGGCTAGTCCCGGAGGGACTTACCCGAACGGGACGAGCCCGCCCGGGCTAGTTTTTACAAAACTTATTTGTGGAATTTCTCCAAATTAGATTCATTCTAAATCTTAGAATTAATTAAATCATTTATTCCTAGCCCCGGAGACTTGTCCACCGAATGAGTACCTCCTCCTAATATAACCCTTATTTAGATATAACCCTTATTAATATATAACCTTATTAATATATGGACCTATGTATAATTCTCTTTAAGATACTACGAGGCAGGTGGGACTCGAACCCATACCTTCTTACGTGACAAGTAAGTACTCTACCAATTAAGCTACTGCCCCTTAAAAAACAAATTGAAAATAAATCCGATGGAGCTGGACTGAAATCAAGGAGCCTGCTCCGATTTAATCAAAGAAAAATTTAAGTATTTATATAATTAATTATTTAGAATAATGTTTAGTTATTATTTGTTTTTGAACCCTTATTTGTAATCTATCCTTATTTTATCTATCCTTTTGACCTACTTCATTCTTCTTTTTATACGATTGGCAGGACTTGAACCTGCAAGATATTACTATCAGCTGGACGCCATAGTTAGGATCGTACATTGAAAATATAATAGGTAGGACTTGACTCACAGATTATTTTATCCTCAAATCCTTAAGTATAAAGAATATTTAAAGTAATTTACATACGATTGGCAGGACTTGAACCTGCACGATTTAAAAACCAACTGAACCTAAATCAATCATGTCTACCAGTTCCATCACAATCGTTATTATATGTTTCTTATATAATATAATTAAAAATAATTTATCTTTGTATTAGGTCCTAACTCTTTAAAGGTAATATTAAGAGGGAGTAGGGTGTGATAAATAGATATTAAATTTGAGAACGAAATAACTCTTAGTTCAGAGCTATAACTTAGAATATCAATTATTAGTAAATTTGATATTACTTGATGTGTTATTTTTTTTTGGATCTTAAAAAGTATTTTTTTCTGAATCTTAACTCAGAATCTAAATACTTACCAATCGTTATTTTAGCTGCTTTGAAATGTAAAGCAGTTTTATTGATAGATGTAAATGTAAATAGGAATCTATTTTTACAAGAATATACAAAAACCTTAGTTCCTCCAGTATCTTCTCTACTTAATGCAGCTAGCGATAATAATTCTCTAGTCTTTAATGATAATTTAGATCCTTTTCTTGTGGCACTCATTTTGCAATAGTCTCTGATGAATGTCTAAAGCCTAATGAGTTACCTGCTTTTCTTAAAATGTTGTAAGAAGGATTTAAAGTCTCTAAATAATATTGTTCTCTTTGTAACAAATCAGATTTTTCACAATATTCTAAAATACTAAGACTAAAAGCTGAGTATCCATTTTTAATTAAAGCTTTATTAATAATAATATGACTTCTTGAAGAATGAGAAAGATAAGAGATTCGAAAATATTGTTTTAGTCGTCTATTTAAATTAATAGAACTCCCTACATACATTTCTCCATTAATCAGATTAGTCCATAAGTAAATACCAGATTTCCCTTTATTTTCCCCTAAAATAATTAATTTATCCAATTCTGCATTTGCATAAATTTTTACAGGATTAATCGAAGTATTTTTAATACTGATATTTAGAGTTTCAGAATTAATCTGAGTATTAATGCTTGTGGATTCAGTATTAACCTTAATATTAATTTCCTTGGTTTTAGAACTTACTTTAATATTTACTGAATTATTTTCAATCTAAAGACTCAGAAAGTATTGGCTTATTACATGTCAGATAAACTGGACTAGTAAAGATTTTATTTATTTTCTAAAAGAATTATTAAGAAAAGGAACTGTACCCGCTACAAATGTAACTTTTCATGTTTTAAAACAAGCACCTTTTACAACTAAACTGTTTGCTAATTTATTTACAGTAATTAGAGCAGATTTATCATATTATAATAGAAAAGAAATGCTTGAAAATTTATATGCAGTAAGATTTTTCTTTAGAAAATATGTAGATTACAAAGATTTCAATGATTTATCTCTTTCAGAAGCTGTAGATTATTGGAACACTAATGTTAAAAAAAATTTACGAAAATTCTCTACAGAATAAAAATTAAAACCTCCTCTCTCTATAATAGATTACCTTTATATTTAAATAGTAAATCAACCATGTTTGCCAATTTCATCACAATCGTTTAAAGAAATGTTATTTATATAATTGAAAATAATTCTAATTATAAAAATAATAATCATCAAAATTCTATTAATTCTTACAAATCTTATTTTTTAATGAAAACTTTACCCTTAATTAGTTAGTTATTACTTATTTAGAATTAATCTATCTCTCTTTTAATCTAATTTACCATTAATTATTAAGTGAATTTTAAGATTAATAATATTAAAAACTATCTAATAATATTAAGTACTAATTATATTTAGATTTTCTTTTACTTTTATTTTATATAAGAAATGTATAGCTTACCTAGTTCAATTGGTAGAACAGGGTACTTCTAATACCCAAATCCAGGATCAAAACCTGGGGTGAGTAATAATTGGGAAATAAATATTTAAAAGAATAATAAGATTAATAAATAATGATTAATTCATTAATTAAAAATAAAATGAATTTATTATCTCTAATTTTTCATTTATTCTATATTAGTCTGTCTATTTCTTTAAGGTATATTTCTTTATTCTTAGTTTATTATTTTAACTCGATTTTGAGCTTTCATTTATCTATTTTAATAAAACTAATCTATATTGACTTAATGGTTAAAAATTCATTATTAAAAATCCTTTAATAATTGGATTATACATATGTATATTTTATCAGGTTGGTAAGATTTGAACTTACACTATTTTACACCCAAAGTAAATGCCTTACCAGATTAGGCTACAACCTGATTTAGTTTACAACTGATTTAGTATACCTTCAAAGGATATTCAATAACCTGTCAAAATATATTTACCTCAGATACGTTGTATGGAGACAGCCGGACTTGAACCTGCACGATTTAAAAACCAACTGAACCTAAATCAATCATGTCTACCAGTTCCATCACAATCGTTATTATATGTTTCTTATATAATATAATTAAAAATAATTTATCTTTGTATTAGGTCCTAACTCTTTAAAGGTAATATTAAGAGGGAGTAGGGTGTGATAAATAGATATTAAATTTGAGAACGAAATAACTCTTAGTTCAGAGCTATAACTTAGAATATCAATTATTAGTAAATTTGATATTACTTGATGTGTTATTTTTTTTTGGATCTTAAAAAGTATTTTTTTCTGAATCTTAACTCAGAATCTAAATACTTACCAATCGTTATTTTAGCTGCTTTGAAATGTAAAGCAGTTTTATTGATAGATGTAAATGTAAATAGGAATCTATTTTTACAAGAATATACAAAAACCTTAGTTCCTCCAGTATCTTCTCTACTTAATGCAGCTAGCGATAATAATTCTCTAGTCTTTAATGATAATTTAGATCCTTTTCTTGTGGCACTCATTTTGCAATAGTCTCTGATGAATGTCTAAAGCCTAATGAGTTACCTGCTTTTCTTAAAATGTTGTAAGAAGGATTTAAAGTCTCTAAATAATATTGTTCTCTTTGTAACAAATCAGATTTTTCACAATATTCTAAAATACTAAGACTAAAAGCTGAGTATCCATTTTTAATTAAAGCTTTATTAATAATAATATGACTTCTTGAAGAATGAGAAAGATAAGAGATTCGAAAATATTGTTTTAGTCGTCTATTTAAATTAATAGAACTCCCTACATACATTTCTCCATTAATCAGATTAGTCCATAAGTAAATACCAGATTTCCCTTTATTTTCCCCTAAAATAATTAATTTATCCAATTCTGCATTTGCATAAATTTTTACAGGATTAATCGAAGTATTTTTAATACTGATATTTAGAGTTTCAGAATTAATCTGAGTATTAATGCTTGTGGATTCAGTATTAACCTTAATATTAATTTCCTTGGTTTTAGAACTTACTTTAATATTTACTGAATTATTTTCAATCTAAAGACTCAGAAAGTATTGGCTTATTACATGTCAGATAAACTGGACTAGTAAAGATTTTATTTATTTTCTAAAAGAATTATTAAGAAAAGGAACTGTACCCGCTACAAATGTAACTTTTCATGTTTTAAAACAAGCACCTTTTACAACTAAACTGTTTGCTAATTTATTTACAGTAATTAGAGCAGATTTATCATATTATAATAGAAAAGAAATGCTTGAAAATTTATATGCAGTAAGATTTTTCTTTAGAAAATATGTAGATTACAAAGATTTCAATGATTTATCTCTTTCAGAAGCTGTAGATTATTGGAACACTAATGTTAAAAAAAATTTACGAAAATTCTCTACAGAATAAAAATTAAAACCTCCTCTCTCTATAATAGATTACCTTTATATTTAAATAGTAAATCAACCATGTTTGCCAATTTCATCACAATCGTTTAAAGAAATGTTATTTATATAATTGAAAATAATTCTAATTATAAAAATAATAATCATCAAAATTCTATTAATTCTTACAAATCTTATTTTTTAATGAAAACTTTACCCTTAATTAGTTAGTTATTACTTATTTAGAATTAATCTATCTCTCTTTTAATCTAATTTACCATTAATTATTAAGTGAATTTTAAGATTAATAATATTAAAAACTATCTAATAATATTAAGTACTAATTATATTTAGATTTTCTTTTACTTTTATTTTATATAAGAAATGTATAGCTTACCTAGTTCAATTGGTAGAACAGGGTACTTCTAATACCCAAATCCAGGATCAAAACCTGGGGTGAGTAATAATTGGGAAATAAATATTTAAAAGAATAATAAGATTAATAAATAATGATTAATTCATTAATTAAAAATAAAATGAATTTATTATCTCTAATTTTTCATTTATTCTATATTAGTCTGTCTATTTCTTTAAGGTATATTTCTTTATTCTTAGTTTATTATTTTAACTCGATTTTGAGCTTTCATTTATCTATTTTAATAAAACTAATCTATATTGACTTAATGGTTAAAAATTCATTATTAAAAATCCTTTAATAATTGGATTATACATATGTATATTTTATCAGGTTGGTAAGATTTGAACTTACACTATTTTACACCCAAAGTAAATGCCTTACCAGATTAGGCTACAACCTGATTTAGTTTACAACTGATTTAGTATACCTTCAAAGGATATTCAATAACCTGTCAAAATATATTTACCTCAGATACGTTGTATGGAGACAGCCGGACTTGAACCAGCACTACTCATATGCAAAACGAGCTCTCTACCAATTAAGAAATGTCCCCAATGTTT